ACGGCTTTGCTCTCTTTTTTGCCGAATGCGTTACGTTTCACGCCGGCGATTTTGATCGTTTCCATAATTTTGATTGTGTTTGTGTTATCCGGCGCTACTCAGAAACAGAAGAGAGATTCGAACTCTGTCGCCCCATCGCGCCTTTTGCAGCCGCAAAGATAGGATTAATAACGGGAAAATAAAAAAAATCGAAAAAATTATGTCTGATATTTTGGATTATTCCAAATTTGGTTACCTTTGCAGCACTTTTACGGGATACACGTAAAGGGCGTTCTCAAAAGAATGATCCGGACGGAAAAAAGTTTTGGACGATTCGGAAAAAGTTTTATCTTTGCAACGAAGTTTTAGGTTCATTTTAGGTTAGTAGTTTAGGTTAGTAGTTTTAGGTTAGTAGAAGGAAAATGCCGCAGAAGTGAGATTTTTCTCTTTCTGTAGCTTTCCTTTGAATTTTGAATGAACTTTATTCCTGTTGTAAATAAGATATAAGCCCAGATGGTGAAATGGTAGACACGCTACTTTGAGGGGGTAGTGTCGGTTTACGACGTGCAAGTTCGAGTCTTGTTCTGGGCACGGGAACCGAAGGGTTTGAGTTTTTTGAGGTATTGGATTGCCCAGGTGGCGAAATGGTAGACGCGCTAGTTTCAGGTACTAGTGTCAGTGATGATGTGAAGGTTCGAGTCCTTTCCTGGGCACCGTTTGAACTCCTAAGTTTTCGGACTTAGGAGTTTTTTATTTCCGATCGTTCGCCGGATTCGGGCGCAGGCCGATGGCGTTTTGCCCGTTTTTTGAGACTCGGGTGAAGTTTATTTCCGAAAAGTGATTCCGAAACCGGGAAAAGATATTTTTGTAGGTCATAGCGGGATTGCGGAGCGTCGTGCGTGTCGTCGTCCCATAAATTTATCGAACGAATAGGGTTTACTGTGTATTTTCTTGCAGGCCGTCGCAAACCTTCCGGCAGAGCCGGCCGCCGCGGTTCATAGCGAGAGTTATTTCAGCCTGTTGATGAAGGGGGGGCTGATTCTGATCCCGATTTTCCTGCTGGCGGGTTTGGCGATTTTCATTATTTCCGATAAATGGTACATGCTACGCAAGCTCGGAAAGCACGACAGCCGGGCGTTCGGCTACCTGCTGAAACTGATCTATGCCGGCGATTCCGATAAAGCCGGCCAATTTGCCGCGAGCCGGACTTTCCCGTCGTTCAAGGTGGTCGCAGCGGGATTGAAAACGACAACCGGACTTTGCAGGACGTCGAAGAGTCGATGCAGATTCAGGCGCGTTTGCAGATTTCCAAAATGGAAAAAGGGATGAATTACCTCGCCATTACCGCGTCGGTCGCGCCGATGCTGGGTTTTTTGGGAACGATTTTCGGGGTGATCCGGATCTTCTACGACATTTCGAAGTCCGGCGTGCTGGATATTTCCACGATTTCGAACGGTCTGTACGAAAAAATGATCTGCTCCGGTACCGGGCTGCTGGTCGGGATCATTGCCTATTCGGGGTATTCGCTGCTCAATAACCGGATCGACAAGATCGTGTTGCAGATGGACGTTGTCGCCAACGAAGCGCTGAAGGCGATCCGCGCCGACCGGGATCACGCCGTTAAACCGTAACCGATGAAAATCGAACGCAGAAAAACAAGGCTCGCCGAGGTGTACACGGCATCGTTGAACGACATCATGTTCTTCCTGCTGCTGTTTTTCCTGATTATCTCCACGATGGTCACGCCGGTGGCGCTGAAGGTGATGCTGCCGCATTCGAGCACGGCCGAGAAGGTGATTACCAAAAAGAATATCATGCTGGCGGTCACGGCCGACCGTCAGTATTTCATCGACGACCGGAAAGTGGAGTTCAAGGAGATCGAGCCGGCGCTGGCCTCGATGGTCAAGAACAAGAAAGAGGGGAATGCGGAGATCGAGTATGTCGTCTTGCTGCAGGCCGACATGTCGCTGAACCTACAGCCGGTCGTAGATCTGATCGATATAGCGAACAGGCTTCAGTTGAAAATGTTGCTGTTTGTTGAGGAAAAATAGCCGGATGATCGATGCCGGAATGAAACTCTCCGGGCGTTCTTGCAACGCCCGGAGGGTTTTGTGTTCAGCGATCCGTCTCTTACGGAACATGCGATGCGGCGGCCGCGGCGATTCTGTGTCGCATAACTGCCGGCGGTCGTGCCGACCCGCCGGTCGTTACCGGCTGAATCCGACGGCCCGGATATTTTTTCGCGAAGCGGTTTCGCTTTCCGTCTCGATGATGCCGGTCAGCACGTCCGGCGCGTCGTCGCGCCGGTTTGCGCGGAACAGCCGCCGGAAGGTGACCAGGTCGCCGTACAGGACGTGCCAGCGGATCTGCCATCCGGCCGGCATCGCAATGCGGTTCAGTACGGCCGGGGCGTTCGACAGGATACGGGCTTCCTTGTTGTGACTCTGGTGAAACCACTCGACCCGTACTTCGCGGCATCGTTTCGCTACTTCGCGGGCGAATCCGCGGCCGCCGTTGTTGCTTTCGATGCGGGCTGCGACGGTGCCGTTGCGTAGCAGCATGTCGGCTACCAGGATCTCCGTCTCCTCCATGCCGAGCGGCGAATAGACCGCGTCGGTAATGTAGACGATACCGTCGCGCCCCACCTCGTAACAGACCGAGCACAGGTAGTCCTCGCCGGTATCGGCCGTGTCGGTGTAGTTGGCCCGGCGGACGGTATCTTCCGGCAGGCGGTCGTAGGTCTTGAAATTGTCGCCGTATAGCAGTCCTTCGCGTACGGCGGGATGTCCCTGGTACATTGTCTCGAACAGCAGCGGGTCGAGTCTGCGTTTGTGTCCAGTAACCGTATGCCGTGGCGTTCCGGCCACAGCGCTTCGCCGGGCTTTCGCGGGTCGGAAGGGGTGGGGGACTTGTTTGACGGCTTCGAAGTTCAGGTGCAGCCATTGTTCCGCCTGCGTTTTTCCGTTATAAGATTCCGAGGAGGCGGTCAGTTCGAGTACCGGTTCGTGGGCGGCGATCCGTCCGATCAGATCGTCTTCGTGCCAGCGCGTGAAGACGATCAGTTCGCGCGAATCGTTGTGCAACCGGGTTTGACGACCGCATTGTACCATTCCCACGCATGGTCGCGGATCAGCGGCGAATTGGCTTCGGCCGCGTCTTTATATAGGTCGTCGAGGATGAAAACGTCGACCGGGTTGCCGGTCAGCGCTCCTTCGCGCCCGACGCTGAGCAGACCGCCCGGAGCGCCGATCAGTTCGAATTCGTCGCTCGTGCGGATCACGTTCGGTTGTTTTGCGGAGGACGTCTTGAGCCGTGTCGCGGGGAAAACGTCCCGGTAGGCGGGTTCGCTCATCAAACGTTGTACCCGGCGGTTGAAGCGGGACGCGAGCCGCAGGTTGTACGAGGCCAGCGCGATTCGGGTCTGCGGTGCGATTCCCAGCAGGTAAGCCGGCAGCAGCACCGACGACCCGAGCGATTTGCCGTGTTGCGGCGGCACCGAAACGATCAGCCTGCGGATTTGTCCGTGCGCGAAGCGGTCGAGCGTATTGTAGTAAGTGCGATGGAACGGGGTCAGGCGGATCGCCGGCTGGCAGACCCGCGCGAAATCGCATAGCGAGCGGCGGGCGAGTTCCGCCGCTGCCTGTCGTTTTGAAAGCAGCATAGATCGGTATGGTTAAGACGAAAAGTTACGGGGGCGGTTTCCATTTTACCGGAGTCGGATTCGGTCGTACTCCGGAGTAAATTTCGGACGGGTACGACCGGTTCGTCAGAGTTCCGACAATCCCGAAATTTCACGGAGCGCTTGTTCGGACAGTCCCGACAGGTCGGGACGGTCGTCGTCCGCAGTGTCGTTGTCCGGAGGACTGCCCGTGTCGGCAGCGGATTTTGCGCGCCATCGTTGCGGATCGAGGTTCGACAGCGCGAATGTGATCGCCGCCAGGTCGGGGCGACCTGCTTGCGGGTGATCGTTTCGTTTTTGATTCGTTTGTTGCCGTCTCCGTCGTATTCGTAGGTCGTCTTGACCTCTTTCAGCAGGTAGCCCCGGATTCGTTTTTCGAGGCTTTTCAGGGCTTTGGGGTATAACGTGGAGGATGCCTTCTCCTGCCGGGCCGGGGCGGGAGCCCCTGCGGAAACGGACGAAACGGAAGCTTTTTCGGAATCGGTCATGGTTTTTTCGGTTTGTGCCGGGAAGCGCGTCGGGCGCCGATGCGCTTCCCGTACTTGTTTCCGGGTCGGAGCGCCGGGGCGGTCGCGCACCGGGATGCGTTTCCCGCCGGACCTGTACGCCGGACCTGTCATGTTCATAAGGCAGGATCTCCGATGTTTAGAACCGGCTTTCGAGGAATCGGTTCAGGGTGTTCCAACTGAAATCGCTTTGCTGCTCCCCATCGATCAGGGCGATGTCGTAGTTCCACCACACCGGGAGTACCGAGAGGATGATTCCGGTTTCCGGGCGCGGCAAATGATCAGCGTACAGGTCAGCGAGGAATAGAATTCGTCGGTGTCGTATTCGACGGTGCCGTTAAAAAAAATCTTTTCCCGAATTTTTTCCAATAGAAGTTCCGCAATTTCTTCGTAAATTTGTTTGGTGATCGTGATCATAATTCTTGCAGTTTTGAATACAAAGATTAATAAGAACGGTTCGAAATGGATTATACAATTTTTGAATCTAAGATTTGAATTTGGAAAGCTTGTAATAGTCTTTATATCAATTTCTATTTGAATTTTGTGTAAAACTGTTTAACTTTGCAGTACAAATATAAGTTCAATATTTAATAAAACACATTTTTGCCTGAAAAAATGCAAAAAAATAACGATATCCGTATTTTGTGCGACCGGCTGCGTATGATTCGCTCTGAATTGTCGATGACTCAAGAAGATATGGCCCGTATCATAGGGATCGGAAAAGCGCGTTGTCGATGATCGAAACCGGAAGGGCGTCGTTGTCGGAACGAAACCGCAATATTTTGATTCAAACATTGAATGTCAATCCGGAATGGCTTGAATCCGGAACGGGAGCCATGTTCAACGAGCAGTTCCCCGAGCGGACTTTCCTGAAGGGGAGCGACCGCCCGGTCGGATCGCAGAGCGTGCCGCTGTACAACGTGGAGGGGACGGCGGGCCTCGTTCCGCTATTTCTGGACAAGGCGTCCCGGCAGCCGGTGGATTACATCCACATTCCGAATCTGCCGAAGTGCGACGGGGCGATTTATGTCGTAGGCGACAGCATGTATCCGTTGCTCAAAAGCGGCGATATCGTGCTGTACAAGCAGTTGAACGACATCAACGACATTTTCTGGGGCGATATGTACCTGCTTTCGATCGACATCGACGGCGAGGAGTACATTACGGTCAAATATATCCAGAAGTCCGACAAGGAGGGGTGCGTCAGACTGGTGAGCCAGAATGTCCATCATGCCGACAAGGACGTCGAAATATCCAGAATCCCGTGCGCTGGCTTTCGTGAAAGCCAGCATACGGATGAACTCGATCCGGTAACTAACCTAAATTTATAGCGATATGACGTAAAGATAGCTCCGCGGTGGAAAGATCTGATCGGAGCGGAGTTTGAGAAACCCTATTTCGAGCAGCTTGCCGCGTTCGTCAACAGGAATATGCCACGAGGCAGGTTTTTCCCGCCGGGAAAAATATTTTCCGGGCGTTCGATAAGTGCGATCCGGACGATCTGAAGGTCGTGATTATCGGGCAGGACCCTTATCACGGCGTCGGGCAGGCCAACGGCCTGTGTTTCTCTGTAAACGACGGGGTGCAGTTTCCGCCGTCGCTGGTCAATATTTTCCAGGAGGTGAACGCCGATACGGGGACTCCGGTTCCGCAGAGCGGCAACCTCGACCGTTGGGCCGAACAGGGTGTGTTGCTGTTGAACGCCGTGTTGACGGTGCGCGCCACGAGGGCGACTTCGCATGCCGGAAAAGGGTGGGAGCAGTTTACCGATGCCGTCGTACAGGCTATCGCGCGGCAAAAACAGGGGATTGTCTACATGCTGTGGGGGTCTTACGCCCAGCGTAAGGCGTCGATGGTCGATCCGCAGCGGAATTGTATCCTGAAGACCGTGCATCCGTCCCCGCTGTCGGCTTACCGGGGCTTTTTCGGGTGCCGTCATTTCAGTCAGGCGAATCAATACCTGCAAAGTATCGAAGGACACCGATCCGCTGGTAGCGGGTACGAACGAATTAATTCATAAAGTGGCTTACGGGACCGGAGGCTCCTGCATGGTCGTTAAGGACGGACCGATTTATCTGTACTACACTTATTGCGGCGACGGCATCGTTTACGACATTCGTTTGGCTACGGCCGATGCGAACGATCCGAATTGGCCTGCCGCGCTGACCGAATGAAAAGCGCCCGGATCGTTCCTGTATGAACGTCCGGGCGTTTGATTCGGTGAATCGTCCTATTCCCACTCGATCGTTGCGGGCGGTTTCGAACTGATGTCGTAAACGACGCGATTGATTCCTTTTACGCGGTTGATGATGTCGTTCGAGACTTTAGCGAGAAAATCGTAGGGCAGGTGTACCCAGTCGGCGGTCATGCCGTCCGTCGAGGTGACCGCGCGCAGCGCTACGCAGTTTTCATAAGTGCGTTCGTCGCCCATCACGCCGACCGACTGAACCGGCAGCAGCATCACGCCCGCCTGCCAGACCTGATCGTACAGTCCCGACTCTTTCAGTCCGTCGATAAAGATTTTATCGGCTTCTTGCAGGATACGGACTTTCTCGGCCGTCACTTCGCCGAGGATACGGATGCCGAGTCCCGGCCCCGGGAACGGATGGCGCCCGAGGATATCCGCCGGAACGTTCAACTGGCGTCCCACGCGGCGTACTTCGTCCTTGAACAGCAGTCGCAGCGGTTCGACGATTTTGAGGTTCATCTTTTCGGGCAGCCCCCCTACGTTGTGGTGCGATTTGATCGTCGCCGACGGGCCGTTGACCGAGATCGATTCGATCACGTCGGGATAGATCGTTCCCTGGGCGAGCCACTTCACGTCGGTCAGTTTCTGCGCCTCGGCGTCGAATACTTCGATGAAATCGCGGCCGATAATCTTCCGTTTCTTTTCCGGGTCGGTCACGCCGGCCAGGTCGGCGAGGAATTTATCGCCGGCCCGTACGCCGATTACGTTCAGTCCCATCGACTCGTAGGATTTCAGCACCGATTCGAATTCGTCTTTGCGAAGCAGGCCCATATCGACGAAGATGCAGACCAACTGATCGCCTACCGCTTTGTGCAGCAGTTCGGCCGCCACCGACGAATCGACGCCGCCGGAGAGTCCCAGCAATACCTTGTCGCCTTTGATCTTGTCGCGCAGTTCGCGGACGGTCGATTCGATGAACGAGTCGGGCGTCCACTGTTGGCGGCAGCCGCAGATATCCACGACGAAATGTTTCAGCAGTTGTTTGCCTTCGGTCGAATGGTACACTTCCGGGTGAAACTGGATGCCCCAGGTCTGTTCGCCTTCGATCTGGAAGGCGGCGACCGGAACGGTGTCCGTGCTGGCGATGATGCGGTAGTTTTCCGGAATCTTCACGATCGTATCTCCATGCGACATCCATACTTGCGTCCTGTCCGAAAGGCCTGCGATCAGCGGGTGTTCGCAACGACTTTCGATAGTATCGCGCGTCCGTATTCCCTTGTGGCCGATGGTCTTACCTCGCCGCCGAATTGTTGCGACAGGTACTGGGCCCCGTAGCAGACGCCCAGCATCGGAAAGCGTCCCTTGATCGCCGACAGGTCTGCCTGAGGCGCCTGGGCGTCCCGTACCGAATAAGGACTTCCGGAGAGGATCACTCCTCTGACCGATTCGTCCGGCTGAGGGAAGTGGTTGTACGGATGGATTTCGCAATAGACGTTCAGCTCGCGCACGCGGCGTGCGATCAGCTGCGTGTACTGTGAACCGAAATCGAGAATCAAGATTTTTTCCTGCATATTCTGTTAGATGTGTTTTTCGTGCGTTTAGCGGATCTGCGCTCCGGCCTGCCGTTCGAATTCGCGGATCAGATTGCCCATCGTCCGGTCGATCACTTGGTCGGTCAGCGTTTTTTCACGGTCTTCGAGGACGAAACTCAGCGCGTACGATTTTTTGCCTTCCGGCAGCTTGTCGCCCTCGTATACGTCGAACAGCGATACGCTCTTCAATAGTTTTTTTCTCGGTCGCGAAAGCAATCCTGCGCAGTTGCGCGAAGTTGACGCTCTTGTCCACGAGCAGTGCCAGGTCGCGTTTCACTTCGGGTATTTTGGCAGTTCGCTGACCGTGACCGTATGGTTTCGGGTCAGTTTGACCAGCGCGTCGAAATTCAGTTCGAGGTAATAAACGTCCGCTTTAACGTCGAACAGGTTGCGGATCTTCCGCGACACGACGCCCATTTCGAGCAGCGGTTGTCTGCCGTTGAATTTGCAGCGGACCGCTTCGGCATACAGGTCGCTGTCGAGCGGTTCGGTGGTCGCGTCGTTCAGGTCGACACCGAATTTTTTCAGCACTTTTTCAGCCGCGCTCCGTAGCGTGTAAAAAGTGCTCGGCTGCGATTGAACGTTCCACGAAGCCGCGTGGTCTGCGCCGGTTATGGCCATCGAAACCATTGCCCGCTGGCTGTACGGCGCGAGCCCTCCCTCTTCGGCTTTTGCCGGATCGTAAGAGTAGCAGTTGCCGAATTCGTAGATTTTCAGGTCTCCGTTGCGGCGGTTGACGTTCAGTTGGATCGCCTCCATTGCGTTGAACAACAGTGTTTGACGCATTACGCTCAGGTCGTTGCTGAGCGGGTTGAGAATCTGCACGCAATTTTCGGCTTTGTAGGCCGATAAGTTTTCGTAATAGGCCGCTTTAGTCAGCGAATTACTCATAATCTCTAAAAATCCGTTGGCGCTCAGCGTATCGGAGAGCATGTTGATCAGCTTGTCGCGGTTCGGCTTCGGAGCGTAGGAGAGCGTCGAGTTGACGTGCATCGGGATCTCTACGTTGTCGTAGCCGTAAATCCGCAGGATGTCTTCCACGAGGTCGGCCTCGCGCCGCACGTCGACGCGGTAAGGCGGTACGCAGACCTGCCATGCGCCGTCGCGTTCCGATTCGATCGTCACGCCGAGCGCGTCGATGATTTTCCGGACGGTCGTCTCCGGGATCGCTTTGCCGATCAGCCGGACGATCCGGTCGTACGACACCTCGAACCGGAACGGCTCGATCCGCACCGGGTAGATGTCGGTTACGGCCGAAGTAACGACGCCTCCGGCCAGTTCGCGGATCAGCAGCGCGGCGCGCCTGAGCGCGTAAGGCGTCATGTCCGGGTCGATTCCGCGTTCGTAGCGGAACGACGCGTCGGTACTCAGTCCGTGGCGTTTGGCCGTTTTGCGGATCCAGACAGGGTTGAAATAGGCGCTCTCGATAAATACTTCGGTCGTCGAGTCCGATACGCCCGAGTCGAGTCCGCCGAACACGCCGGCGATACACATCGGCCCTTCGGCGTTGCAGATCATCAGGTCTTCGGCCGACAGTTTGCGTTCCACACCGTCCAGCGTAACGAACGGCGTCCCTTCCGGGCAGGTTCTCACGACGATTTTGTCTCCTTTGATTTTCGCCGCGTCGAATGCGTGCAACGGTTGTCCGGTTTCGTGTAAAATGAAGTTCGTGATGTCGACCACGTTGTTTTTCGGGTTAATGCCGATAGCTCGCAGGCGTTGTTGCAACCAGTCCGGCGAAGGCGCGATTTGATTCCGGTCATCGTTACGCCCATGTAACGCGGCGCGGCTTCGGAATCGGCTACCTCCACGGCGATGGTTTTCGAATCGTTGTCCCGGCCGAACGCGTCGACCGCAGGCAGGATCAGTTCGTGCGGGATGTCGTTGGCCTTCAGGTAGACGGCCAGGTCGCGCGCTACGCCGTAGTGCGACATCGCGTCGGCCCGGTTCGGCGTCAGGCCGATTTCGAGCAGGTAATCGTCTTCCAATTGGAAATATTCTTTCGCCGGAGTTCCCGCTTTCACGTCGGCCGGCAGTACGATGATTCCTTCGTGGCTCGTTCCCACGCCGATCTCGTCTTCGGCGCACAGCATACCGAATGATTCGACGCCGCGGATTTTACTTTTTTTGATCTTGAAGCCGTTCTCTTCGCCGGTCGGATACAGCATGGCGTTGATCGTCGCTACGACCACTTTCTGTCCGGCCGCTACGTTCGGCGCGCCGCATACGATCTGGGTCGGCTGCCCGTCGCCGAGGTCGACCGTCGTTACGTGCAGTTTGTCGGCGTCGGGTGTTTGTCGCAGGTCAGCACTTCGCCGACGACCAGTCCGGCGAGTCCCCCGCGGATCGATTCCGCTTTTTCGAATCCCTCGACTTCGAGTCCGATCTGGGTCAGTGTCCGGGAGATCTGTTCGGCGTTCAGGTTGGTTTTGATATAGGCTTTCAGCCAGTTCAATGAAATTTTCATCGTTCTATCTTGTTTTCCTTTTAATTTGTCGTCGATTGTTTCGGGCAGTCGGGCTTTCCTCCGGAAATCGGCCGGTGTTCCGGTCGCCTGAAATAGGTGCGAAAGTTACGAAAAGTTTTACAAAGTATCTAATTTCAGCGGGTACGCCCGGCGATAAATGCGGATAATTCGTATCGGACGGCGGCGGCTCATTCCTTATCTTCACAAGCTCCGGCAGCGATACCGGGTTCCGTCGTCACCGAGGTGCTTCCGAACGGAAAATCGCACATCAAAAAATAAAGCGCTATGAATGAGCGCTTTATTCGGTAGTTTATAAAATATGTTTTTATAGTTTATCGCTGTATACGGCTCCGGGCAGATCCTGCAGATTGTAGCGCGATGCCATCGCCATGCCGTAAGCCCCTGCCGAACGCAGCGTCAGCAGGTCTCCGCGCGAGGTGACCGGCAGTTCGACGTCGCGGCCGAAAATATCCGACGATTCGCAGATCGGGCCGCCGATCGTATATTTTTCGCTCCGGTCGCGGAAGTCAGGTTTTCGATCTTGTGTTTCGCGCCGTACAGGGCCGGCCGGATCAGGTCGGTCATTCCTGCGTCGACGATCACGATCTTCGTACCGGCCGACGTTTCTTTGTTGTAAAGCGCGCGCGTAATCAATTCGCCGCACTGCGCGACCAGCGAGCGGCCCAGTTCGAAATGCACGGTCTGGCCTTCGTCGATTTTCAGGTTGCGGTGGAAGATGTCGAAATAGGTTTCGAAGTCGGGCATCGGTTCCCGGTCGGGGTCGTCGTAGTCGATGCCGAGTCCGCCGCCCATGTTGAGGTGTTTCAAAACGATGCCCTTTTCGCGGAACCACTCCTTGATGTCGAATACCCGTTTGCTGAACGTTTCGAACACCTGCATATCGCGGATCTGCGAGCCGATGTGGAAGTGCAGCCCGACGATTTCGAGGTTTGCGAGTTTTTCGAGCGAAGCGATCGCCGCGTCGATTTCGTCGTACGAGATGCCGAATTTGTTATCCGCTTTGCCGGTGGTGATGTAGCGGTGCGTTTTCGGATCGACATCGGGGTTGATCCGAAGCGCGATTCGCGCCTTTTTGCCCATTCGTCCGGCGATTTCGTTGATGACTTGCAATTCGTGCAACGATTCGCAGTTGAACGAGAAGATTTCCTGGCCGAGCGCGTATTCGATCTCCCGGTCGGTTTTGCCGACGCCGGCGAATACGATCTCCGATGCCGCAAACCCGTTTTCGACGGCCATCCGCACCTCGTTGCCGCTGACGCAGTCCATGCCCATGCCGGCGCGGCGCACGGCTTCGACGATGCGCGGGTCGAAGTTCGATTTCAGCGCGTAATGTATTTTATAGCCGTAACGCGATGACGCTTCGGTCGCCTTGTTCAGTGTGCGGTTTAGCAGTTCCATGTCGTAAAAATAGAACGGCGTGGGCAGTTCCGCTAACTGTTTGATGTAATTTCGTGCGCTCATAATTATTCGAAAAGTCCGTCGTTAAGGGATTGCAAGGTTTGTTTCTTGTATTCGGTGCTGATCAGCATCGCCAGGCTGCGGTGGCTTGCCCCGTACGAGATCATTTTGATCGGAATCGACTGGACGCTTTTGAAAACGCTGGCGGCCAGTCCCGCGTCGCCGTGTTCCATTCGTCCGACGACGCACACGATCGAATTGTTGCGTTCGATCTCGATCGTGCCGAGCTTTTCGAGTTCGGCGACGATTTCGTCGATGTGCTTGTCGTTGTCGACCGTCAGCGATACGGCCACTTCGGACGTGGTAATCATGTCGATCGGCGTGCGGTACTGTTCGAAAATCTCGAATACCTTACGCAGGAAGCCGTAGGCCATCAGCATACGCGCCGAGTGGATACGGATCACGGTGATTCCGTCTTTGGCGGCCACCGCGTGGAACGATTTCGAATCGTCGTCGCGGTCGGAAATCGTCGTGCCCGGGGCTTTCGGGTCCATCGTATTTTTCAGCAGCACGGCGATCCCTTTGTCTTTGCAGGGCTGTATGGTCGCCGGGTGCAGGATCTTCGCCCCGAAGTAAGCCAGTTCGGCCGCCTCGTCGAAGCTCATGTTTCGGATCGGGTGGGTGTGGTCGACGATGCGCGGATCGTTGTTGTGCATTCCGTCGATGTCGGTCCATATCTGCACTTCGTTCGCGTCGATCGCCGCGCCCATCAGCGCCGCGCTGTAATCGCTGCCGCCGCGTCCGAGGTTGTCGATTTCGCTTCGGTTGTTCGTACAGATGAAACCCTGCGCCACGTAGAAAGTATCCTGGTCGGCCGCTACCGGAGCCAGCGCTTCCCTCAGACGGCAAGTATCTACTTTCCCGTCTTCGTCGGTCACCATGAAGTCGGGCGAGTTTAGGCATACGGCCTTCATGCCGGTTTCGTTCAGGTACAGCGTGAAAATCGCCGAGGTCAGTAGTTCGCCCTGCGCGATGATCGTGCGTTCGGAAGTGTATTCGCGGAATGCGCCGACTTCGCTGCGAATCAGTTCAAAGGCGGCTTTCATCCGTCCGAGGGCCTCGTCTCGGTGCGCGCCGAGCACCCCGTCGATGCAGGTCGTATATTATCGGTCAACATCGCGAGCTGGCTTTCCACCGTGTCCCGGTCTCCGGCTGCGGCTGCCGCCACGATCTTCACCAGAGCGTCGGTCGTGCCCGACATCGCCGACAGCACCGTGATCCTCGCTCCTTCGTGACGGACTACTTCGGCTACTTTCTTCATATTCGCGGCCGAACCCACCGACGTGCCTCCGAATTTCAACACTTTAATCATAAAAACAATCAATAAGTTGTAAAATCAAACAAGAATTTATTTTTCGCACAAAATAGAATGAATTGTTTGTTTTATCGGGTAATTTTATTTTTTTTGCAACAAAGCGGGTCGGAGTGAAAAATTAGACACGGCCCGGGCAGGGAAGCGTCCTGTGCGGCGACGGATCCGGTTGGTATTGTCACATAAAAAATAACGATATGCTCACGATTCCGAATGCGGTCGAAGAGGTGATCAAAAAGAAGCCTTTTCTGGAAGGCGCGCTCGTTGAAGGATTGGTCAATCTTTCGGCGTTGGCCCGGCAACTGAAGCCCGAAATAGAGAAAAAAAGTAGGAAAGGAGGTAAACGACAGCGCCGTCATCATGGCGCTGAACAGGCTGGTTCCGCGTCTGGAGTTGATGTCGGCGATGAAGTTCAAAAAGGTGGTCGAAAACATCGGGGACATCATCGTGCGCTCGAACCTGGCCGATTACGCTTTCGTCAACTCCCCGACCCTTTACGAACGGCAGGCCAAGCTGCTCGACCGCGTGCGGGCGATGAAGGACGTGTTTTGCACTTTTTCGCAGGGGATCTACGAGACGACCCTCGTCGTGAGCAGTTCGATCGTCAAGTTGGTGGACGAAATTTTCGCCGAAGAGACCGAGATCGCCAAAACCGAGAACCTTTCGTCGATTACGGTGAAGCTGCCGGCCGAAAACACCATCTGTCCGGGCGTCTATTTACTATATTTCAAGGAGCTGGCGTGGGACAATATCAATATTGCGGAGGTAATCAGTACGACCAACGAGTTTACCGTCGTGATCGGCGACGAGGACATTCACCGGGCATTTACGATCCTGATGGAGGCCAAACGTCAGGTCGGCGTCTGAATGATTCCGTTTTCGGCGAATAAGGCGAATAATATAAAAAGTCTGGACGGTAAGCGAACGAGCCGATTGTTCCGAAGTTTTCGGGCCGGGAATGCGCCGGTGGCGACGTTTTGCGTTATTTTAGGATGTAAATATGTATCTGCAAGAGGATTGCGGGACTATAAAAAAGTGAACTTTTTCACGAATTCCGATGATTCTCATTACGAAGTTGTATATTTGTAAAATTAGTTATAGCAGATTAATTTATTCACACGGACAAGGATGGTCAGGGAAGAGCAATTGCTGAAAAGAATTCAGGAACTGGAAACGGAAAACGAGAAGCTTCGCACACAACTGAATCGTCGTACTTCCGGCGCCGTCGACGGCGCCGCCGAACAA